TCAAGTACAAGTACAGTTCTAAAATAAAAATTTCCAAAAGGAGCCCGATTATAGAGTGCAAGCATTATGTATGATAGCAGCATTACAGAAGATCTAGGTTATAGAAGATTGTATAAGTAAGTTCTCTAATTGGAGTGACTAAAGAGGCAATACCAATATTCTATCACTTCTGTATTTGGCAATATCAACATCCCTGCAGCCAACTTGTAGAGTACTTGCTTGGAAGGATGATCAATAGATTGTGCATATAAGTCCCAATATAGAATAGTATTAGGTACTTGCTTAGAAGGGTAATACAATACTACCAAAATTAGAATAGTGAGAGAAGCAATAAATATGTGAAAGGGCTGTGATAAAAGATTGGCCTTATCTAAATTGAAAATACCTCTGGTACTGTGAAACAACTAACTAAAAAAGGTAATTTCATAGAGGCAGGCTAGCTAATCTAGTATGTCTAAAGACATCAAGTCAGAGCTCTGGTTATACCTATATAGAAGTTAATGACAAAAGAAGCCAGAATACACCAACAATAATGCAACACCAACCAATAAGAAGATCAAGTTGGAAGTCAAGATAAATTGGGGCACTACCTCCTAGTAATATGATGCAAGACCTACAGTTGAAAGTATGTAGTCTTGTAGTTGCTATACAACTTAAGGGTCCTCACAAAATAAGGTTCTGGTAATACATCATATGAGGAAGTACAAATGGGTTATGCTAGTACCACTATACCAGAAAAAAAATATTAAATCCTGAAATTGGCAAACCAGCAGTAGTAGCAGAAACCTGGCTTGAGATACAGATTAGTAGTACCTGGACTGATAAGTAGGAGGGTTTATTTGTAAATAAATATAGAATAATCTGACAATATAATACCAACTCAGTCATGTGGTAAACTTAACTAGATAGCAAGATTCTGGCTTGAGATACAAGCTATAAAAAGGCTATCTGTACCAATTACGATTGTACTAATAGAATCTAAAAGAAAACTTGCAGTAGATTGTGTTTGCAGGTATACCAACTTGGAAGCTTATAAGGAGTGAGTACCCAATACACCAATTTGGAAGCTATGACTAGTTATGTGAGACATGGGAGAATATAGTAATTACTAGATATAGTTAGTTGAGAAGCGTAAAGCTAGATGAAATATATGTGGAGTATGAAATATTCTAGTAGATTTAGGTCATAGATAAATTAGTCTAAGTTTCTGTAGTTATAAATTAATATATATGAAATTGTAAGTAATAGTAGTATACATTAATAAAAACTAGAGGCGTGACTTCACTTTAATATTAAAAAAAAAAAAAGATTTGAAATACTAGTCAGAAAAAACAGAATAAATTAAAAGAAGAAAAGAAGAAAGTTTAAATATAATCAAAAGAATTTTGACAATAATACAGTATTAAAAAATGAAATTAAATTAAGTATTAATATAAAATTAAAACCAATTTGAAAGTAATCCAATTTTGATAATAAGATATAAAATAAATATAGTAGATAACTAGAAGTAGTCTGAATATTAAATCTAGATATAACTTAATATATAGTGGAAATATAGCATATTCTAATAAATTTAGATTATAGATAAATTTGTCTAAACTTGTATTCTTAATAATACTGTAGATATATAGTCATATTAAGGCAATTACTATATTATATATCTGATAAAAATATAGAGTATAATTTTATCTTAATACTAAAAAAAAATTCTTCTATAAAAGATATTTTATTTTGTTCAATTATAATTTTATTTAATTTTTTATTTAATTTTTTAGACTGATTAATTTTATCTTTAAAAAAGATATTTAAATTTTTATTATCACCAATTAATAGCTTAAAAATTAATTTGCTTTGCTTTTTGGCTTTTGTAAATATCTTTTTTAAAGTTTGGCTTTAAGCTGTCTGAGTATAAAAAGATTATTTGATATTATTTTGTTTTGTATTTTAATTTAACCAAGTCAAAAAATGAAAAAAGCTATTTATAAGCAGCTTTATAAGAAATAATAAAAAGAAGTTTTATTGCAAATTGGTACAAAAAAGAATAATTTTCTTTAAACTTAGCTAGAATAAGTATGAAGTTGTTAAAAAGTTAATAAAAAGGTTGTTAAAGAGAGAATGATTGTTCTTGTAATTTACAAAAACTTTCTATATAAGAAACCTGTATCTCTTTTATTAGGAGAATAAATATGATACAGATCTGCAAAGATCTTTAATCCTGAAAAATTTTGACAAATTTTACAATATCTCGTGATTTAGTAGTCAAAACTTAGCAATTTTGATACCATTTGATCCATCTTATTGAGACAGATTAATGGTATCAAAATTACTAAGTTTTGATCACTAAATCACAAAATAATTGCATTTAAGTGATAATTGTAACTATCTAAATAACTCACCAATAAGTGGTCCAAATTTAACAATTTTGGTACCATTTGATTTCTCTTAATAAGACTATTCGAATAGTATCAAAAACATTAAAATCAGATTACTAGTTGGTAAAATATTCGCAAAATATTTTTTGCAATGCAGTTCAGCACAGAATTTTAAAAAAAAAATTAAAGTTCTGCGCTGAACTGCGCCGCAAAACAAATTTTGTGAATATCTTGCCAACTAGTAATCTAATTTTAACAGTTTTGATACTATTTGAACTGTCTAATCAAGAGGAATCAAATGTTATCAAAATTGGTAAATTTGGACTGCTAGTTAGCGAGTTATTTAGATAGTTACAAATATTACTTAAATGTAATTATTTTGTGATCCAGTAATTGAAACTTAGCGATTTTGGTACTATTCGATCTATCTCAATGAGACAGATTGAATAGTACCAAAATCACTAAGTTTTGACTACTTGATCATAAAATATTATAAAATTTGTCAAAATTTTCTAGGGTCAAAGATCTTTGCAGATCTGCATCATATTTATTCTCCTAATGTTAGTTAAATTTCTATACTTTAGCTAATTCAAGCAAAGCTTAAATTATTATTTTTTTATTTTTTTTAGATATAGTAATTGCTTGTGGGTTGAAAAAAATATAATAAAGTAAATATCACTATTAAAACTCTTTGGTATTAGTGTTCTGAAGTTCAGTTCAGTTCAATTTAGATTCAGGTTCAAGTTCAATTAAACCTGAACTGAACTTTAAATTTTGCAAATCTTTGAACCTAAACCTGAACTAAACTTTAAATTTATGAACTTGAACTGAACCTGAACTTAAAGTTTTAGTTTAGTTCAAGTTCTGTTCAAGTTTATGAATATATTCAAGTTCAATAAATTATATATATATATTATATATTGTCAAAATATCTACCTCTGATAATAAGTTATTTTTTTTTTTTAGAAGAAAAACAAAAATTTTTTAGATCTAAAAATAGCAAAAATACTGTTCCTAATAGATCGTTGGTACTGTTCCTGATAGGGTAAAAAAAAAATTGATCTATATCCCATTCCTGATAGACTGCCAGGTAGATGTTATACAAACCTCTATATTGGCACTAATATAATTTTGCTTTAATAGTAGATTTAATAATTAAATATTTGGATAAAGCATAATAGACACAGTAATCTATATCAATATGAAATAAGATAATACATATTATATCATGATTTATTCAAAGTGTTTTTTTTATGTATCACAGGTTTACTATGTTCTTATAAGCAAATTTGTCTAATAGTATAATAAGGGTAATAAACATCCTAATTGCTATATTAATGCCATATCTATTAATAACAATATAGCTTTTGAGCCTCACATATATAAATTAAAACCTTAATGCTTAACGGCCTAAGATTTATTACAAATGATTATTTAATAACCGATAAAAACTATCATATCTAATTATTTCAATACTTATTGATTTATTACAAACGATTATTCAATACCTGATAAAAATCCAATCATATCTAATTATTTCAGTACATATTTAAAGTGTTCTTTATTTATATCAAAAATTAGAAATCGGCAAATATAATAAACTACTATCTTAAAATATAATATAATAATTGTATAATATTTATTACCAATTAATAACTATAGAAGCCCTAGCATAATTTGTATTCTTTATTATAATATAATTAATCACTGGGAAGAATTATTGAACCTGATATTTATTTCAGGTTTTTTTATTATTCGTTGTATATGGTGCTTTTAATTCGATCGATTATTGATCAAAGTAATTTATTTATTTAGGTAATCATCATTGCATTTTGAAATACAAAATAGTAATAAGTATATTGTTCGCTAGATTTTAACTGATGTGGAGAGTGATCGATGATGTAATAAGTGCATAACAATGTAAATAAAAAGGAACATCTTTCATTTGAGTATACTTTTGTCTCGTGAACTTGTAGATGAAATGGTATTATTAACAAAATAAACGCATTAAGCATATTTAAATTGAGAATAATAGAAAAAAGAGGATATTACTTTCAAGCGGATATATAATAGTGCAAAATTATCAAACTTATGCTGCTTATATAAAAATTAAAACCTAAGTTGAAATAAATACGCAGTTAATTGAAATACTTTATAATAGTTAAAGGTTTATTACAATTTTATTTATTTTTTTTTTTTTATTACAATTTTTTTTTTTTTTTTTTTTTTTATTACAATTTTTTTCTTTTTTTCTTTTTTATTACAAATTTTTTTTTTTTTAATTTTTTATTTATTTATTTATTTTTTTTAGTTAATAAGTACAATATATCTACTTCCTCAACATCGTATTAACAGTGACAGAAGTATTAATTTATCATTCAGACATGCAGTTGAAATGTACATTAATTTACTACCTTTATTTACAAATTGTAAACTCAAAAAACAAGTTAGCTCTATATTAATGAAAATATCAAGAATAGACTTATTACTTTGAAACAGGTTGAAGGTGCTATCGATTATCTTGCATGGAAAACTAGTAAAGGACAAATCAAAATGACAAATAGATTAGATGATATACTTGAGCTTACCAATAAAGATCATGATCATGTAATTAAAATAAAATAACGCATGGTATCAGATCTAACAGTATGGAGATGGCTTCTTTTTTGTAATAGCAATAATGATTGTGAAAGAGCATGTGGTGGACTTGGAGAATGTAAATCTAAATGTCCAAATTTTTATTTAAAAAATAACCTTAAAAATGATTTTGACATGCACAAATGCGCAGTTCAGTTTATTATAAAAGTTATGCATTCTGACATTAAAGAGCCTTTACCAGTACAGTTAGTTATTAAAGATACATATAGATCATTGTCAATACCTGCAGCAGAACCAAAATTAGGCAGAATCAATTTGAATCTTCAAACTCGTAATATGGCAATAGCTACACATTGTAGACATCGTACCTCTGGAATGAAAATTACATTAAAAGCATTATTCTCATACAATAATGCAGACAAGATCAATCTTCAACATATGCATAAATTAGGCAAAGATTTGTGCAATGAATAACAATTAAAAAGATTTATTGAAAGAGATGATCATCGATTACGTGAAGATGCCAGTCTGTAGACTATTTTGGATCAATTGGTTACTTCAGAATTGAAAATGCAAGGAAAAGTTCTTTATTACCAATGTCAGGACATCTCAGTTTCAAAAAATAGTCCAGAATACTATTATTAGTTAACTTTAAGTGATGAATTATGGCTTAATCAAGGCCGTGATTATGGACAATTCTGTTTTGGAATTGATGGTAAATACAATTTAAATAATGAAGGTGCACCAGTATTGTTATAGTTATCAAGAATCAGGCTGGATATGGTTCCTTACTGGCTTTCGGCTTTAGTAATAGAGAAAATTATTATATAATACGGTTAGCAGTATAGGCAATAAAGGCTAATATTCCATGCAATAATTCTCATTGTATATACCAATATCGATATATTGATTTGCCAGATAGGCGAGGGTTTAAGCATATACGTAAATGTATATCATATTGAAATCCGTTGGCTATGATGGATATGCATCGGCTGACCAAACTTGCGTTACAAAATCTTGTTCGTGGTACTATTTTATGTTGGTTTTATATCATATCAACTTAAGGAGAACATTTACAACAATGGAAAGTTAATTGGAATTTACAATATCCTATAGCATTGGATTTCAAAATTGTAGACCGAAGTAAATCTGATAATAAGGCAGCTGAAATGAGAAACAAATATAAGAAGTTTATATACTTTTTATCACTTGATGACAATGTCAAAAATCTTTTGATTCATGATTTGGAAATGAATTAGATTTGCAATGAATGGAGGCAAGGTTTTATTGATAGAGAGTGAGAACTGCAAATGTATGATTTAACTGGTGCAAAGCTGATAACAACAAATAACTTAATAGAGAGAATAAACGAAACTATAGAATCACAGCGCAGCAGAACTCAGACAGTTGTATCATTCAATAAGCGTTTA